GGATCAAGAAGAAGACGAATCATTGGATATAACAAAGTTAATTGCGTTGCTCCAACTATGTCTTCAAATACAAACGAATCTTCCTGTAAGAAACAAATCAACTGTTACACGACATATCAATGTACTTGCACTTTGCACTTACATCATCACCAGTTTCTACTACAAAAGCACGCTCATTTAGCAGTTGCAAACTACGGTCTAGCGCTGATGGAAGTGGTTCTTCTGCCCAATCAGCAATACGCCAATGTGAGCCGATGACACGTAGTATTGTGCTGCCAAGCAACTCATCTACAAATAAATTCGAGATATGCATCTCAGAAAGGAAAAGCAAAATCTGATGGAACTGAATATCTTAAAACATACCTAAGTAATCTTCTGTATGAGGAAAAGCAATATCTCTGTAAGCAAGGAATAACTGGGCTGCCTCCTTGCTCACTAGATGGCTTCGAGTTAAGGGGATGCAGAAGTTGAAAAGAAGCTCGGGTCTGAATTATGTGATCCTATTCTTGAACAAGAATACCTAACATTATCCTGCTGATGCAAAAGTCCATATTTGGCAGAATGTCCTACCCACCTGGCGAATGCACCCTGGTTATCAGCGGCCACCATTGCCCTGGCCTCATCAAGCTTAACCTCTGCAGTGTCATACATATGACGCATTTCAATACGAATTTCCTGACAAAAACATTCTTTCTAACGATAGTTCTACCCTTACACCCTTATAAGAACCTTCTCTTTTGCAAGTTCTTTTTCCATGACTTGCTTCTGAGCAGCAGTTAGTTTGCCCTCCTTACGCTTCTTTTCCGCAAGTTCTCGTCTGAGGTGCATTTCAGCCAATTGGTCTCGGAAGCTATATGCCTTGTTTTCTCGCTTCATATTGTACGTGATTTCTCCTTCGTCACTAAAGGAAAGTGGTAAAACAGGATTGAGAACAATATAACAGGCAATAACAAAAGCAAAACCGATAAACCTACAAGTCTAACACCTCAGTGTTGTACAAATGTCCTTCCTGACAGTGGAATATTGCCACATTTCTTTCCGGAATCCTCACATACTCGTTGACATCAAGATCATTGATGCTATTTTCAATATGAGCCCATAAAGCGCTTCGCACAGAAGGAACGTTCAAAGCTACCAAAGTAATCAAAGCATTATCCCTTGAAAGTACATGCATGATTCAATCACAATCCTTTGTTGCGGGTTAATTGCGCTAGACTTACCGCACTTTGCGATCTGGGCATTGGAGCACTCGATCAATAGCTGTTTTTCTAAACATCTCGCTTTCCTTCCAATGATTACTATCCGCTTGACTGTGCACCCATCTTAGCCAGACAGAACCATCAACTTCCACTAAAATCGCATCGATTATAGTGGTTACGAGAGCTAAAAAGCAGAAATTCCAACCCAGTCGTGGAACTGACGCTAAAAGTAGAGTATGAATTGCTAGCTTTTCAAGTTCGGGTCCTTTAGGCATGAGGAGCAGCCGCAGTACCTCAAATCAACGAAATGTTTGAAAAATTATTTTTCCACGACGAAAGAGGAAACTCACTTGAACATACCACTCGCCCGGGATGGTGAAAGTGGACGGATCAGAATGATTAGTTCGCACCTTTCTGAGGGTCTGAAACAATCTTTAATATGTAAAGTAGTAGCAATGGATTTAGCTCACCTGATCGATAATTCCGCTAATGCTTTCCGTGAAAATCACATCAGCAAGAGCTTCAGCAAAGTGGGATTCTTCGATTATCAAGATTCTCTCAACGGTGAGCGATGCTCTTTTTCTGACCTGCCAATCTGGCCAGAACAGAAGAAGTGCTAATGATTTCAGCAACAACGAAGGATAGGAGCCAGGCTAAAGAGATGGAAATGTCAACTAATCAGAATAAAAATAGCCTGACACTCACTGTACTCGAAAACGGCCTTTCTAATATTGACTTCTCAATCAAATCAATCCAAGAAATAGCATCTTCAGCGCACATTGTTCCCAAAGGCTTATCCTAAAGCAATCGCTCGTGAGAAAATAAATTTTCGAGGAGGCTGAAAAGATGAGAACAACCTTCAAAATGCTATCATATGTCGTGACTTTCCCCCAAACTTTGGTATGATTCGGAGTGCCAGACTCACAGCTTTTCAGAAGAAGAGAGGCAAGGGAGATAAATTGAAGAGGTTCTTTTACAGCTGTTTCGAGCTCCTGCCA